AGAATAGAGAAACGAAGGATTGCTTTGAAGCTACTTCGAAGTAGAATGAAATTAATCACTAGAAAGGACGATGGGGAACTAGACTTCGGCTAACCCAAGCGTGGAATCAGCCACAACGTAAGCAAGCAAGAGAGTACAAAATCATCGTCATGTAATGCAAATATAAATTGGTTATTCCGAATTCATGTACATGTATTTCATCGCGACGTTCGCGACACGGCCACCTCCCAGACCACCATCAACCTGAGTCACACTCAACGATATCAACCTCACTGTGGCCTCAAGGCATCGCCACCTTGGCCTTCCCATACAGCAGAATCTATGCTGGAACTCGCATGTTGACTACATCATCACTAAAGCGACCAGGTAGATGTTCCTTCTCCTGCGACTACGCAATTCCTTAAACACTTCTGCTCTCTCCTCCATCTATCTAACCTACATCCGCCCTATTCTTGAGTATGCTTGCACTGTCCTCTCACCCCTCCCCGCAACCCTGAACGACCGGCTTGAGCGCATCCAACGGCGCGCCGCTCGCCTCTGTTTGCATCTCCCCCTCTTTGAACACAGAACCCACTCCGTGCTGCTGCACCGACTCAAATGGCCATCACTCAGCAGCCGCTGTACCCTCTCCCATATCCTTCTTGCACATAGCCTGCATCATAGATATGCACCACCACACCTTCTTGCAATTCACCTACCCCGAATACAACCCATTCGCACGCTCAGGTTCCCCGAACCTTTGAGCTACCCACAACACGTACAAACCGGCTAAGAGACTCCACCATCTGTGCTTCTCTTGATCTCTTTAATAGCATTCCACTCAGCCTCCGGCAAATCAACCCCAGACGAGATTTCAAAGCAAACATCCTAGCACTTGTCATCTCTTCTGTATGTACTTGCTCACATTGCTCAGCACATCTAAAGCTCCATTGCGCCCAGCCTACGTGATAAACTCCCAATTTGTATTGCCATCGCTACTGCCTCAGCAAGCAGCTAAACTTTGATCTCTCTGTATCTGATCCCCGTGCCTGTAATTATTTTTCTCTTATTGGCCACAGGCCATCATGGGAACAAAAGATTTCAAACTCAGTAAAGAAAGAAAATTTCAAATAAAAGCATTGAAAAGCAACAGAGACGCCAATGACATGTGGATAATGAGCTACTTATGTCGTAGTAAACAAGGGGCGGCAAGGATCTTGAGCAGGCAGGGTGAGACCATATCCTTAACTTCTCTGGGAAGAGTGAGTCAAACAGAAAAAAGCCATAAAGAGAGGGGAGCGCAAAAGAGTGGATGAGTTACACTTGGGGAGCACGAGCGAGTCCCTTGTACTTGTTTTCCGGTCTATACACGGATCTGCAAGCTCTTTTTTCAAGAATATAATTATTGTATTACTTGCCCAGCTTCAGATACCACTGGCTGATCATAATATAATACAGGTGACTATAATTTATAGTCACCTGTGGGCAGTTGCATAATTTTCTTCGCATTCCATTCCTACCCAATCTTGCTTGGAGATGTTCTATCCAATTTCTGGTCAGCGCCACATGGTACTCTCCACCCGATGCTACCCGCTCTCTAACAAACCTTGTTCATTTCAAAAAATCTCTTTCAGATCTTGATCTTACTTCACTCCATTAGCTCTTGACACACTGTTACGTTCTGTCCCCATTCCATCATTCACAGCTTATCCCCCATGTTGTCCACAAGCACAACATACATAAAATACACTGCTGCATGGTATTTATAATTGTACTGCTGATAGTCATCACATCTTTGTTATGAAGCCACAAGTTCTCAAGAGTGAAAGGCCTTCTCGCTTGTGACATTGTGTTCGTTTCAATGTAGTTGTATCTCGACTCCGCCGTCACGCCTTACCGCTGATGTTTACGGCGTGGTATACGCTACATGCGCTACGTGCGATTAGTTGTGTGCGCTGTAGTTGTATGTTGTGTGTGTATGCTTTTATGATATACGCTGTCGTTTTCGCGCCATAACTACCTGGTTGTTTTAGTGTTAGTTAATAGTGGATCAAGTGAAATATACTGTTGAAGAGTACATAGTTGTCCTCGTGCCGTGTGGTCGTTCGTTCATGACTTTTACAGAATCATAAGGGTTCAAAACAATCCTATTATATTCCATACTGTCCAGAATTGATCTTATCGGCATATGTCCTTTCCTTTCCACATTATTATTAACGAAGCAGTGGTGAGGCATCCTGCAGCTTCATAACTCGAAGAGAATTGGTGAGCACACATGCTCATTCCCTGGGCACTGCAAATTCACAACTCATTTCATTTCACAGAATCATTTTCAACGCTTCGGCAAATTGCCATCATCAGGATGCAATATGAAGTGGAAGTCTGCCAAGGAGCAGTTATATACACTAATTTGGTGTTCTTAGGTGTTGATAATATTTCTATGACTACACATGTTACCTCAGTGCTAGAAATATGACATGTCTAAAACTAGTGAGGGATCACAAGTTTTCACTGACTCATATGCTGGGTGTTGGTAATACTAATAAGTTAGCACAGCGCAGATGTCACCAGATAACTTGAGAAATGTCTGACCAGGTTTCCCGCAAGCAATACACGAATGTGACCATGTCAGTGTTTTCCAGAAAATGCTGTCACCTAGATAGCCATGCAGTGTGTGTGACTGTTTTAAAGCAATGCCCATCCAGCACTGGTGTTGATCTCTGGGCCTTCGTTTCTGATCTCCTCTGCCTCTCGCAATTTGAGGCTTGCCCTGTCACAGGCGCTTGCAACCACAGACACTGCCGAGAAGATGCTGTCCCTGTTGTGTATCGGTAGAAAGACTTTTCAAGGCTCATTTTGTTGTGGTCCTTTCGTTTATTTTGGTTTGTTTCGCGTTCTGCTTTTACTCGTATTTGACTGGTTTTGGTTGCATGTATAGTTTGTACATGATCCAAGTAACGGTTACGTCATTGTCATGCGTTATGTTTTGTTTGTGCGCATGCTTATATGCTGCCATAATGTTAGTCTTTTTCTTCAGTTATCAGTTTACCTCGTCGTGTCCGGTCTTCTTGTCTCTCCGTCTCCGTCTTGTCAAGAAATTATGTAGAACTCTTAGTTCAGTTTCGTTGTTGTGTGTGGCGGGTCGGATGGGCAGGGAGGCTGGGCCCCTGACGCCTGGACAACATGTGCGTGTGCACAAAAGTCCCCGACACCTAGGCTTATCCACTGCATCCCTGCATGCTTAGCTCGCATGTGGTCACCCCATGGTTTATCCACAGTGCGCCTACGAGCTTCACCGTTGTGTTCCTCCAGTCTCGTCTCCAGTGTGCGACCCGTCTCTCCGATGTATTTTTCCCTGCACAACTTGCATTGCAGCCGGTATACCACATTCTTCTTGAAACATATTTTCACTCCACCCGACTTACAAGTCAGACACGGTCCCATTGGGCGTCCTCTTCTCTTTGTCTTTCTGATGTTGGGCTCCTTAATACAGCTGGGCGGACTTTGTGCTGAGTGACAGAGCTGACGTTTGAGGCTACCCGCATACTCGTAAACCACCCGTAGGTAGAACGTCCTACTTTGTTCCTCTTATCCGTGTGTCAAATCGTATGTCATCTTTGGGACGACCCATGTGTTCAGCGTGAAGAAGGACGTTCTACCTACCCTGGGCAAAAGTTCTTTAATTTCTTTCTTTCAGTACTGAAATTGTGAAAATCGGTACGTAGGTAGAACCTTTCAGCACCTGGGCGCACGTATTCGTCAACATGTACCGTTGAATCTTGTCCCTGTAGCTGCACGTGGTTCTCGGCCTCGGCGTGGTCGTCCGCCGACGTGTCCAGAGGCAGTCTGTGTCTGAGGTGGACTTGTCCAAGTCCGCTGTGGATACGCTTGCCGACCCCTCCTCCTTTTCGTCGGGCGCAGGGCTGGAGCAAACCCCAACAACAGTCACCAAGAAGAAGAGACCGATACGGAAACCACTGAAACTGACATCTGAACAATCCAGCCCCGGACGAGTCACCAGAAGCCAATTGAGGAGACGAATTGATGAGGGATCAAAAGAACCAATACTGGAAGTGACAACAACGGTTAATGTGAGGAAACGAGGTAGACCACGGAAGCAGGGCAGACTGAACGTGGAGCAGCACACTGATGCCGATCGAGGCAACCGGAATTGCAGGGACGCAGGGCGTAATGGGAGAGACTCGCAAGCGGCAGGATCGGAGGTGATAATGGCCAAGTCGTCGGGTCAGAGAAACGGTACCTCAGCAATCAAGTGTCACCTGTCAGGCGGTGCTAGTTGTCGTGAGTGGTATTCCGATGATGTATTCTCTGTTATGTCGTGTGGTAGGTCATTTTTACATCTTGCTGTGTTGGAAGCTTTGTACATACGTAAGTTAGACCCTGAGCTTTGTTATCAGAAGGAGAATGTGTTGTCTTTGCAGTTGTTTGGCACTGTTCGTCGTGAAGGTGCAAAATAGATCCCTTGATCTCTTGATATTGTCTCTCTTTTTCTTGTCACTACGTTTTTGTCACTTATTGGATTTGCATGCTGTTTTCTTGACTCTTCACATCTATTCTTTCGTGTCGCTTCTACACATAATTGGAGTGATGTATCTCTGAACTTCTTTTCTTTATAGTTGTAGTCTTTTAGCTTATTTCCATCTTTCCTGTAGTATTTTGACAAGATTTGAACGAAAACGTTCAATACTTTGACACATGTCCTAATTGGCTGGTGGTGACTCTTGCGTAGATGCATGCGTAAATAATACATTTTTGTAATATTTTCTGCCTCCGTCCTAGTTTCAAATTATTATTATTATTATTTTAAATTATTATTGCTATTGGCTCAACATCCGAGTTATTTAGAAACTGGCTGACTTAAAGAAAGCTCTACGATATTACTGTTCTGCTAGTATCAACAGCATATTACTCCTGTGCACTTCTAGCTGAATAATTCAGTTGCCACCAGGGAAACTGCCCGGTTTCGCAAAACGCGAATTCACAAGTTGGCAGTTACTTACACAGAATGCAAATGTTTCATATGGTGAAACACATCTTTGGGTAACTCTCTGATTTTATTATTGGACAAGTTTCTGCAGGTTGGAGTAAAGCAGAAACCAGAAAAACAAGGTGACGAAATGGAAGATTTAAAAGGTTGCAAGTAACAGTTAAAACAAGTCCACCCTCCAGCTGACGCGCCTGGTGCAATTAGTGTGACGACATCGGGATGATGGAGATCTAGTCGGGATCTGTTTTTTCGATCTTGCCAAGGCCTTCGATACCGTCTTTTGGCCAAGCTTCGTGGATCATTTACTGTAGACGGCAATCCCCTGCTATGGCTGACATCTTACCTAACTGGGCGAACGCAGTACGTCACGGTACATGGGACGTCCTCGGCCGACACAACAGTACTATCCGGAGTTCCCCAGGGTTCCATCCTCGGCCCCCTTCTTTTTATTTTATACGTCAATGATCAATGATCTTCCCGCAGCGGCCCTGGGCACATCACTGTTCGCAGACGACACAACCCTCCTACGGGCATCTCCTAACATTACTGGCCTGATGAGTAGCCTAGGTAACGGGATTCAAAGAGTAATTTCCTGGATGTCGTCTTGGCGGTTATCACCCAATCTGTCTAAAACTAAAATCATGCTCTTTCCTTCTCCGCCCGATGTTCCGCCCCTCCTCCATCCCACTTTCCCCCAGCCTATAGACTTGACAATAGAAGCTGCTTTTCGTATGTGCAGTTACATTGAGCCATGGTGTTTTTGTCTTATGTTTGTGAATCCTTCCCGGAAGCAAATGCTGGTTTTTATGCATTCGTGTAATTACTCAGCGTTATTTGCAATAATAATAATAATAATAATAATTAAAAATTCGACGAGGAGACAATAATTTTAATATGGCAATAAGTAGGACGAGCTGAAGCGACATGTGGACTACTTTATTAACAATGTAAGCGATGGAGACGATGCAAGAAACAACCTAAAGGGTAAGGAAAAATACATGTAAGAAGAAAAAGGGCAATGGAAAAAAAAAAGATGATTCGAACAAGTTTTCGTACAACACTCTTAAGGAATCACCGTTGTACTAAAGAACAAAATGAGAACAAAGGAAATAATATAGCAATCAAGGTAGGGTGACACGATACAATGACAGCACTTTGTTTTCTGCACACTTTTGTGAGAAATCGCACCTCGATATTCTAGTGCTGTCATTGTATCGTGTCACCCTACCTTGATTGCTATATTATTTCCTTTGTTCTCATTTTGTTCTTTAGTACAACGGTGATTCCTGAAGAGTGTTGTACGAAAACTTGTTCGAATCATCTTTTTTTTTCCATTGCCCTTTTTCTTCTTACATGTATTTTTCCTTACCCTTTAGGTTGTTTCTTGCATCGTCTCCATCGCTTACATTGTTAATAAAGTAGTCCACATGTCGCTTCAGCTCGTCCTACTTATTGCCATATTAATAATAATAATAATCTCTTTCCCTCAAACTAGTGAAAAAAATAATAATAATAATAATAATAATAATAATAATAATAATATTAACGTTGTATCACTCACACTCTTCAAGTAATACACACGTACCATTACATTCATTCACACAGTATCACATTCATCTGCCACTACCTTTCTCACATACACTATATTCACACATTGCAAAGGTGCAAACTTCGCTTTTTGTACTTGTTAGCTGCTGTATTTCTACCTGAAACCATATTAGCTACATGTATATAAGTGTGTGTTTTAGTTATTACATTTTTATGTGACGGCGTTCCACTGATGACAGTCACAAGAAAACGTTATGGAACTTGACTTTCTTCATTTTTGCTGTTGTTATGAGTGCACAATTTATCTTATTTATTGCCATTTTACGACTATTGTCTCCTCGTCGACTGTTTAAATATTAACTGGCTTGAGGGAAAGAGACAAACGGGAAAAGTCTGAAGAAAAAATTGACTGTCACCACCAGGACTCGAACCAGGGACCCTCGCTTGCAGCCAGCGATGCTCTAACCACTGAGCTATGGTGTAGTCGTCATCCAAGCAGAGACCGTTCAACGTTTTCTTCAGACTTCGTAACTCACACTTCCTGTGAATCCACACAGGCGGGTGGGACGCAGCCCTCACTGTAACCCACACACTTCACGTACAAACTAGCACGCGGAGAGCCCCAAGTCATAAAATATTAACTGGCTTGAGGGAAAGAGACAAACGGGAAAAGTCTAAAGAAAAAATTGACTGTCACCACCAGGACTCGAACCAGGGACCCTCGCTTGCAGCCAGCGATGCTCTAACCACTGAGCTATGGTGTAGTCGTCATCCAAGCAATAATAATAATAATAATAATAATAATTTGAAACTCGGATGTTGAGCCATAAATAAATGTGGAAGAGAAAAGGACATATGGATACGAGTTAAGAGTAACTCTCCATCACTGTAACATGATACTATATACAGTCAGAAAGTGCAATAACTAGGCACAAAACTGACAAAAGTACTCTGTCAGTTTTGTGCCTAGTTATTGCACTTTCTGACTGTATATAGTATCATGTTACAGTGATGGAGAGTTACTCTTAACTCGTATCCATATGTCCTTTTCTCTTCCACAATAATAATAATAATAATAATAATAATAATAATAATAATAATAATAATAATAATAATAATAATAATAATAATAATAATAATAATAATAATAATAATAATAATAATAATAATAATAATAATAATAATAATAATAATAATTCTAAGATTCTAAGATCTGTTTTGGGTGCAGCATAGGGCTCTTCGCTGTCCCTGGTGGGCTTTTTATGCTCTGTATGTTATTGTATTCGTTTTAGTTTGTAATTGAAACACTGTGGTATTTCTGTGGGTATTCGTATTTGATCTTTCTGTGGGTGCGCATTGGAGGTTGTGCCCAGTGATGAGCTTTGCCGGCCTGAATTTTTCGCCAACTTCTGATGCTCCCCTTTCTGCAATACCTGTTGCCATGATACCTCTGAGCTTTAATGCCTGTGTCGTCGGGGGTTTTTACTCCCTCGCACGATAGCCCTTCCGATTACTCTCGATATCTCATATCACACGGACGCCACACTCAGAGAACAGATTATTTTAGTCTTACTCCAAGGAGAGTCTCAAGAAGAGGGCACACAAAACAATCAGGATGCGCACGATAAGCATGCACGCATGCGCAACCTGCACGTGCCAAAAGGGGCACACACGTGCCAAAAGGGGCACACACGTGCCAAAAAGGGCAGGGACAACATATTTCCACACGAAAAAAAATGCATCCTCTCCTGAGGATGGGAGAGAAGAAAAACAAAAAGAGAAGACAGACAGGAGAAAAAGAAATCAAATGTGAACAACATACACATGCAGATACGCAGGGCCAAAACAGTAGGATACATTAGTAACTCCGGACAACGGGGGAAAAGCCAAAGCAAAGGGGTGGAAAGAAAACAGACTGGGCCCACCCATAGAGGGAACCGCCATCTTTCAGGCGTGGGCCCCCGGAAAACAACCACCTCGCCCTGGTGCGAAGCCAAGGCAAACGGACGGTACGGCGAAGACCGCGGCAGCTGAACCGGGTGACCAGTCATCTGACAGCACAGGAGTTGTCCGGAAAACCATCACGCAGCCGATGGGGCTACGAAAACTCACAGATACACACACAGAAAGAAAGAAACAAGGACTGACGCAAACATCTCAGCAATACTAGGAGCCAAAATTCAGACAAGAAAAACCACAAGAAGGAATGGCAGAACAGCAACGTTGAACACGCCTACGGATACAGGGGCAGTCTATCCATGAGGACACCAGATAGCACACAAACAAATCGGTCACCAATACGCAAACAAAAATTAACATAGAAAAACCACAGGGCGCTACCCTGAATAACCACAGGCCTCTAACCTGAAAAAACCACAGGTCTCTAACCTGAAAAAACCCACAGGGATTGAACCTGAATATCACGCGTGAAACACAACCGCTCACGAAACACAAAAAAAACACCGTCCTGAACCCTACTGGGACGCACAAAGGCCAGCCAGCAAAACACGGAAACCGAACACCCGCAAGGCGAACCGATACAAATAAGCGCTGGATCCCACCAGCCCACCAGGCAGACCGTGGCTCACCATGATCGGACGCCCCCCTAGGTGAAATGAAGAGACCCACGTGCCAAAACACAAATACCAAACAACACACTCACAGAAATATTGCCACCCGGACCGTCAACGAGAATCTCAGAAGCATGTTACACCACTGGGCGTCAGCCATTCCACATGAGCGGGACAACCAGGCGGAGCACTAAAACGCTCGACACAAAACATGAATACTAGTAAAACGAAAAAGAAAGCACTTGTACTTGAAACTGGAAACGACGGAGTGCCACCACATCGAGTAAATCGATGGGGACATCTACCAAACTGAAACAAATCGGACGACACAGGATCGGAGCAGTCCGACGACACCGAAACGACGTGCACCAGTGCACAACACAGGGCGAGTAAGCAAACACGAGCAAAGCTACCCATGCTGACTACCATGATGACGTACCAAGCAACACGATGAGCATGCACGACAGCACGGACAACAAACAGTTTCAAGTCAGAAGGTGTGAAACACAGTGCACACGACCACTCGAACAGCCAGAGGCCGGAGGGCGACAATGTACACTGGTTCAAAACACCGCACACACAACGTGGGCCACAATCATGTACTAACAGGAGCGAGGCTCGAACGAGGTACTCGTACACAAGAGAACAACCCGGGACTTCAATGCCACGAAGCGAAACAATTATTTGAAAATCCCAAATCGAAGACTAGTACCAGGAGAACTACGTACAAGGTACAAAACATTACGCAGGGCAGACAAAGCAGGCTCACCTGAGTAGGAGCTCCGAGGACAGGGTTGAGAAGATGGAGCAAAGCGGAGCCATGGCGAGGACGCGTGGAGAAGGCAAGATTTGAAGCCACGGCGAAAACGAAAACGATCTCAGGGTCGTGGGGAACGATGCCACTAGCTGGGCGCCAATTGTCGTCGGGGGTTTTTACTCCCTCGCACGATAGCCCTTCCGATTACTC